TCCTTTCTTGAGGAGGACAGTGGGAAGCAACAATAGAGATATCGGCAGCAAAGGGCAGACTCTGGTGAACCCCAGTGAGAAGTACAGAGAATGACCAACAGTGGTCACACCTGGGGCAGGTGAGTAGAAAGGGAGTTGACAGAGCACTACTGTGGCATCCTAGAAATGCCCAGTGGGAGCCATAGCAGTGGAACCACAGACTGATAGGGAACCAGTGAATTGAGGAGGGGTCACTGAGGAGCAACAGGCATCCTCCTCAGTTGGAGAAATAAACTCAGACATTGACCCTTACTGGTATGAAAGATCACATAGATTTTGCAGGTGTACTTACTACCCTAGTGATACACAAAATTGGAGGGGAGGGTTGCTTGATTCTAGCAATGCCTAGTTCTTTCCGTTTCTTTTATCAGGCAGGGCACTCATAAATAAGTCAAAAGAATCCTGTAGGTTCCTGTTGGAAGGGGGTGAAAGAGGCCCCAGAAAGAGGAGAGTTTCTTGACTATTATATAGTCAACTATTATATAAGCTTAGGTATGAGTCCCTAGTGTATTTTTACTGGGTTAAATAAAACCTGTTCTGCATTTTATGTCTTAGCCTGAAACTTCAGGGAAGCTTAGCACACTCCTTTTGGGGAAATATCACTCACTAACATGCCTTGAGTTTGTGTAGGTGTGACCACAATGATCCAGAGAGATTTCATGAAAGACTCCCCAAAATAGTACCTGGGTCCTCTTGTCAGGAGTACTTGAGTTCAAATCCAGCCAAAGGTATGACTAGCTATGTGACCCTGGGCAAATCACTTAACCTCAGTCTTCATCAGGTTCCTCAACTGTAAAATGGGAATAAGCACCTATCTCCCAGGATTGTTTCAAGGATCAAATGAGATAATATTTGTAAAGCACTTATCATAGTGCCTGGGGCATAGTAGGTGCTTTATATGTGTTTGTTCCCTTCCCTACTATGGTTGCTTATATTTTTTTACATTCATTTTACTACTTCGAAAGATCAAGAATTCCGTCAGAATGGGTACTCCCAGGGGCAGCCAGGTGATGCAGTGGATAGAGCACCGGCCCTGAAGTCAGGAGAACCTGCGTTCAAATCTGTTCTCAGACCAAACACTTGACACTTACTAGCTGTGTGATCCTGGGCAAGTCACTTAACCCCAATTGCCTAAAGAAAAAAAATGGGTACTCCCACTACCAGTAAAGATGAGTACCTCCACTTTTTAGGCTCCATGAATTGCCAAAAGAATCATCTCCTTTAGGCCAACCATTTAGTACTGTCCTTCATGTTTACCATAATTTAAGTACAAGCTACAAAGAAGCACTCACCATTTAATGACCCCTTTTGCATCTGCTTGTAAACTCAGAACTTGGTGTTACGCTTTGAATTCGGTTTCATTTGGTCTTCCAAATGAGCATCTGACATCTGTGATCACAGCCATGGTTTTGATTTGAGTCATATGTGAAAATGTTGATTCACACCAAGGCTCTTTGAGTGCATGAGGCCCATTTTAAACAGCAAGAAATGTTACTGAGTTTTGTGTAACTGCATTACAACTGCTCCTGGGGCAATAAAGAAATAAACAATTGTGACAAAGTCTCCCCGCTAAATTCCCCTCTTTCTTACTCACCTGTTAGCAGATACTAACTGGTATCCACATCACATTCTAGTTTCTGTTTGCTTAGAGAAGAATAGGAAAAGGTATCACCAGCATCACCAGTCAGGAAACATTTTTAAGCACCTAATATATGCCAGGCACTATGCATACAAAGAAAGGTAAAAGGCTGTCCCTTCTCTTAATCTAATAGGGCAGACAACACACAAACAACTATTTAAACAAGGTATTTACAAGATAAATTGGAAATATGCTGCCAATGAAAGACACTAGACTTCTGGAAAATCAGGAGAAGCTTCATTTAAAGTCACATGTTCCCTAAGGCTAGCCACTTTGGATTGAATGATATAAGTATATTTGTTGAATGTATAGAAGTCTCTACAATAAATTTATTGAAGCAGATTCAATACTTAAATGCTGAGAGTCAGATTAGCATAGTGGATAGACTGCTGGCCTTGGAACAAAGAGACTTCAGAAAGTTACTAACTATGTGGCCATGGACAAGTCTCATAACCTATTAGTGCCTCAGTTTCCTCAACTCTAAAAATAAGGATAATAAACCCAGGCATGCATGTAAAGCCAAGAGAGATGGAGACTTAGAGTTCTCCTGGGACACCAAAAGGGGAAAAAAAGAAAAGTAGGAGAAGAGTTACTGGATTTCTGCTGCCTCCACATCTGGAAGGTAAGCAAGAAAAGAAGTAAGGTCAAAGATGAAACTCCAGAAGCCCTGTCCATTCCTTCTGGTCACACATGCCCAGTCATGTGTCCCAGGGAGACATAGTAGTAGAGTGGGAAAGAGGACTGGATTTGGAGTTAGAACCCTGGCTCTGCTGTTTACCATTTGTGTGAACTTGGGCAAGTTACTCTACCTTACTGAGCCTCAGTTTCCTCATCTGTAAAATGAGGAGGCTGGATTAGATGGCATCTAAGTTTGGTAGACACAGAGGCTGCTCCCCATTAAATGAAGAGAGATCTTTCTTCCTCCTTGAGGAAACCAAACCAAAAGGGTTCTTCCCTATATCTGGAACAGGAAAACACCTCCTCAGCCATCTGAGCTGTTAATTATGATTTCATTAGTAGCTCTGCTATGTGGAAAATATCTCTATTAATGCAGGTCAACACTTTCTCTGAAATCTATAGGTTTTAGAGAGTTGCCCACAGCACTGAGAGGATGACCTGACAGTATATGTCAGGAGAAGGACTTGAACTTGTTTTCTTGATTTTAAGCCCAGCTCTTAAGCCAGCACCCCATATGGCTTCTTTGAAGAAGGATTAGGATTTCAACAGAAAATGGGGGGTGGGGGGGTGGAGAAGGATAGAGGGAACATTCAGAGTTAAGACACAGGAGAATACCAGTCTTTGGCAAGATGACCAGTTCCCCTGCATGGAGCATAGGAGATAAGTCTAGGAAGCCAAAGTAGTGCACTATTGGGGAGAGCCTTGAATGCCATGAACAGAAATTTGGTAGGCAATTGTGAACCACAGAAATATTTTGAGTGGAGGGGTGATGTGATTTTATCTTTACACAACAAAGGTTAATTTGCTAAGGAGAATAGATTACAGAGGGCAGTATATTTTATAACAAACAAGATAAAAAAAAAATTCAAAGGGCCGCAGGACTTCTATAGTAGTTTTTAGGAAGATCTTGCTTTCCCTTGCTGATCCTCATTGTCAGTTCTCAGGGTTTGATCTGAGGAAGGAAACAAGGTGGGAGCCACAGAGTCTAGGAATACAACTAATGGCCACAACTGAATTCTTCTCTTGTGTTCTACTAAATACTACTTACAATGGTCTGACTCCTTGGAGGAGCAAAGAACATTGTACTTCATACCTTTCTGAGATCTCAGATTTTCACTGTTCCCCAGGAGAGATCTGCTTTGTGAGCATAGTGATGCTTCTGTAGTCCTGCCATTGGCCAGTAGGTATTAATCTTTGGGGAGAACCTAGAGAATGAAAGAATAAGGAGGTTAGAGATGATCAATGATTCTTGCCTTTGGTCTGGAAAATTCATTCTTAGACATTATTTGGCACACATCTCACTTAGCCGCCTAAAGTATTTCCTTCCAAGTTCTCCCAGCTACAAAGGGTTTTAGCAACATGTACTTACACATTGATAAACTACGAGCACAATTACAAGTACTTCGTAGAAGTCAAACCCTTTCAAGATAAGGACTAGCAGTGGAGGCAACTATCAGACACACCAAGATAGTAAAACACCGATGTATAGGCATGGCACAGGGGAAGGACAGTACAAGTAGGCATACAATGGGGACAAGTTCAAGGCAACCCATTTATAAGAGCCAGCAGCTACTCCAAGACACTACCATTTGGTGCTAGGATCTGGTCACCTACTTCTGTTTGGGAAGAGCATGTTAGGGTTGGATGAACTATTGTACGAAGGCTCCTTGGAACCTTTTCATCTGCAGTATTGAGATACTCCTTCCCTTCTTGTTCAATTGTGTGAATGGATGTTCCCTAGGAGCTGGCCCATTCAGGTCTGAATCCAGGGAACAGAGTCTTGTTTGTGTGTGAATGGGAGAGAATGTCTATTTATAGGCTATAGGAAGACCCAACTAGATTTTGCAAGGGGTAGTCACTGCTGAGGATACCTGGCCCCAGACTAAGTAAAATAAGTGGGTCTTGTCTAAGAGTATAACTCTGAAGATCCCCCCATATCTGCTCATTAAATTACTCTGGCCAAGAAGTAAGTATTCTATGAAGTGTTGACATATTAACTTATTGAGATAATAAATATTTACCAAACATCTCCTGGGTAACTGACCTGACCTGCCAATCTTAAGACCTATGCCCTGCCATGAAACTCCATGGTCCCCTCAACACCATCAGGTAATGGGAGTTTTTAAATGTATATGTTCTACTAAGATGGAAAACATCTGTTGCTTTCTCACCAAGAACAGGAAGACAGGATTGTGCCTGCTCAACAGCAAGGTACTAGAAGATCACAGGTGATGTATAAATGATTTTCCAGAAGTCAATTTATATACTGAAAATATGAAGCATGTGGGACAGAGGCTGCTATTCAAGTAACAAGTTTTCTTTCTAAAGCTTGGTTCACTGTTTCCAGTGAGCTGGAATTGGGGGCTACGCCACATGTCATGGGCCCTGCCATCTCATTCCTATTCCACAATCCCTGGCTGGGCTGCAAAATCATAAGAGCTACTCATGAGCTGATCCAACTCAGCAGAAACCCAAAGTCATAAATGTTTTGCTTTTGCTTTTCTTTTCTATCATGTCTAATCATTGAACTAATCTGGACAAAGGGTGACTGGGAACAGATGAAAGAGAACCACACCCCTGTTTTGTTTTGTTTAATTTGCTTTGGTTTCCACCCACCACAAGTTCTTTTCTTCCCCTCTCATAGTGTGGGCGAAATGCCGAAAACTTCGACCGGTTTTTCACCCGCCATCCACCCGTCCTAACACCTCCTGACCAGGAAGTCATCAGGAACATTGACCAATCAGAATTCGAAGGATTTTCCTTTGTTAACTCTGAATTTTTAAAACCTGAAGTCAAGAGCTAAGTAGCTGTGTAGATCTCCGTCCTCCATTTCTATCATGCAATCCCAACAGCTGTCTTGGTGATCTTTTTCATTGCAAAGTTGCATTTGTGATTTTTTTTTTGTAGTCAGACTAGAGTGACCATATTTCAGAGCCATAAGTGTTTTCAAGTAGTTAAGAGTATCTCTAGCATCTGGGATCATGCAGATGTGGTGAATAAAATGGTACAGCACATAAATGCACATTATCAAATTGTGCTCAGAGTTGATTCTATCCCTATGTTAGCTAACCAACCTGGTCAAAAGAAAGGAAACTTATCTTTCACTTCATATCCCTTGTTCTCCCTCATCATTTTAATAGATCCTCCAAGTTAGCTAAGGATCCAGTTGACCATTGGGTAAGATATTTAACCCAACAACCTGAGACCACTTTAGTAGACTAGCCTTTTTCTTGTCCTAGCAGGAAAGACTGAAGCATTTAGCATTTAACTTGTCCCATGATCCATATGTATCCTAATATTTGAAAATTTCCCTTTTTTTTCCAAAGAAAATAATGAGATCTTAAAACCACAAAAGGAACCATATTCCTTTTTTTATCTATGAACTAAGATTACATATTCTCCTTTAAGGGTATGCTTTTCTATTTCTATGGTAGAACTGAGGGAAGAATCAACTGTAAACAGGCATTTCAGCTAGATTGTCATTCTCTAGCCCATCCTCTGCCATATAGATAACAAATCCTGCTGCTGGTGATCTAATATGGCTGCTTGTTACATTACTGTCATGATGCTTTTGCTTCCAAATAGCATATATCCACCACCATCTCCAAACTACTTGAAAAGGGCACTTTGGAACAAACTCTTGAAAGCTCATGGTCACTCTAGTTAGCTCCCTACATAACATGGTTTTACATTACATTCCAAACTTGATTTTCTTGGGGGGAGGGGGGGTTGATTGTCATTCAAATGCCAAAACAATTATTCACTTTGTTATGCGTGCTTCAAATATGTGTCCAAAATGTTATTAACAACAATGAACTGCTATGATTTTAAAAAAGAAGAACCATGTGAAATCTAACCATACCTGTAAAAAAAGAAAGTGTCGGAATGGATTTTCATGCAGATACTTGCCTTTGGATATAGGATTTGTCTGGATTTGTTTCTGCCATTGGGAAGATAATTAAGAGCTTTGGGGAGGACAAGTCTCTTGAAACAGTCTTATCATTTCCTTTTATGATGTTTTGTGAGATGTTTGTGCAAGTGTCAGTTTGTATTGGTATGCTTAATATCTGTAATGTGCCAATTTTTTTTTCAGTATTGAGATATAATAAAAATGGAAAGAAAGAGAATCAAAAGATAACTACTCTCTTTGATAAATGCTGACTTGTGCTATAGTTTGGGGCTCTCTGATGCCATGTACCAGCAGAAAGCCAGATGAGATAGAAAGGTGCAGGGTCATGTAGCATTCAGAGGGAAGGAAAGAAATTTGGACACTCACCATAGAACCTGGAAGCCCACATCAGAGCACAGTTAAGTCGCCAAAAAGGAATCAGTTAGAAGTTAAAGTGACCAAATTTAGGACTCAGATAAAGACCCAAATCCCTCAAAACTAGGTTCTTCCTTTTCTTGTTACTTATGTGACACTGAGTTAGTCTCACTGAGTCTCAGTTTCCCTAGATGTAAAAAAAAAAACAAAAAACAAGGGAAATACTGCGTACCTTCATGGAGCTGTTGTGAAGATCACATGAGGGAAATCAGATATGAAAGAGCTTTGTAAACCATACAGTGCTACGTAAATGCCAGTGTCAAACACAGTTTATCATCATCATCATCATCATCATAATTATTCCCAGCCACATAACCTCTTAGGGCTCTGGGCCACTCTCTAAGACAGTACACTCCAATTGGTAGAAGGAGTTTACTCATCAGAGAGTCCCATATACCTGTGAAATCACAGGTCCAGTCTCTATCACTATCCCAGTCTTAACCAGTGTCAAAGGCCAGACAGAACAGCCTACAGAAGTTAAAGGAGAGATTTTCAGGCCTAGTGGGCCCTTGTGTAGGGGCACTGGCTTTGGCCTTGTGGTCTCAGAGATAGATAGAGTAAAATTGAAAGAGTGAGATAAAAAGCTCACAAAAAAAAGAAAAATAGGCATTCGTAATCAAGATTCCCTCTCTTTTCCTAGCTCTGTCACTTTTGATAGCATGTTTCCCATGTCAGTTGGAAGACCAGGGACAAGAGTACCCAATTCCCTAATTTTATCCTCTGTTCACTGATTCCTTCCCCAACTTTTCTCAAATTGCCTTGGTTTCAGCATTTTCTTCCAAGAGAGCTCTCCTTCTACCCCACCCCTCTTGCCCCAGGTAGACATAATGCTTCTTGAATGACCCAGCAACCTCAAAGTTACTGGCGACATGGGGTTCTCAGCTGGAGGTAAAACTCAGGAAGTCCCCTCACAGAAATGTTTCTATTCCACAGTGAAATCAAGCAGAAGACAAGTCAGTCAAAGCCCTCTGTGTTCCTTCCCCTCCTTCTGCCTCATATCATTTCTCCTTTGACCCTTTTCCATGGGCTCTTGCTTTTCCCATCTGCTCCTTTTTATGTGGATTTCTCATTCTACCCTTTATTGCTTCAGCTTTTTCCTGCCCTGTTTTCCATCCTCTTCTGCATCACCCCTTCCTCTCTTCTTGATTTTCTTTCTCATTCCCTCAGGCTTGTCCTTTTACAGGCTATTCTTGCTTTTCCTCCTCAGAATCACAGAGGTTAGACTGTCAGAGTTGGAAGGGACTTTAGAATATAACAACAACTAATTGCAACTGCCACTTACATAGCACTTTTCAGTTTTCAAAACACTTTGAAATATATAATCTCTTTGGAGCCTCACAACAAGCCCGTAAGTTAGGTGGTATATTATTAGACCCATTTAAAGATGAGGAAAAAGGCTCAGAGAGGTAAAGGTGCTTCCCTAGGGTCACACAGCTAGTAAATGGAAGAGCCAAAATTTGAACCCAGGTCTTTTGATTCCAATTCCAGTATGCTTTTCAAAATGGCCTGAATCTTATAGCTAGAATGTTAGAAATGGAAGCAAAGATACCAGAATACTAGAGGAGGAACAGACTATAGATCAAGAAACATAGAATTAGGACTAGAAAGGATCTTGAGGATCAATTAGTCCTGCCCTTTCATTTTGAAGATGAGGAAATTGAGAACCAGTGGGGAGAGCGACTTGTCCAAGGTCACTAAACTAATCAGTGGTAGAGTAAGGACTAGGATTCCAATTCTTTGACTCCCAAGTTCAGTGCCCTTCTCACAGCACCACCTCCTTGCCTCTGGTCCATGGTTGATCAGGCACCAGCCCCCAATCTCTAGCTGAACCAGGGCCCCGGAGGATTTGCTGAGCTATGCCCCATCCAAATCCTCCCCAGGGTCGGAAGTATGTGGGGAGGGGAGATTACTGTAATTTGTTGGAAAGAGTAGAATCACCGAATTTTAGAGATGAAAATGATCCCTGCAAAGCATTGATCCCATTCCCCTCCTATAGATGAAGTAGAGGCAAACGGAAATGGTGATTTGTCTTTGGTCCCATAGCTAGGGGCAGAGTCACAATTTGAAACCAGTTCTATGTGGGCCAGTAGAGAGAACCAGGTGTTCTTTTCACTATTCTCTTCAGAAGCTTTGAATAATGAGGCCAAAGTAGACACAAGAAAACCATTCCCTAGCCCCCATGCTGTACATCAGGAAGAATGAAGGAGATTGGATAGAAAAACCTCCCCTGGTCAGACAGGAAGTATTCCCATGACCTTTGGAAGAGTTCCTGTGGGTGCAGCCTCTTACTGCTACCTCCCAAACTGGTAAAATAAGTGCATTTTTTCCTTTGATGAATGAAGGGACCCAAAAGTTATTGAAGGGGAATATTGAAGAGTTCACTGGGGATAGAAAACCTAAGCTAACACTCCCAAATGACCTCCCTGCCAGCCCCAGCAGCCCTTAGCTTGGGTTTTCATATACTCCCAGCATCCCTTAGAATCAATCAGTCCACAAGCATTTATTTGCACCTACTTTATGTGTCAGACATTGTGTTGGTATGGAGGATAAAAAGAGAACAATGAAATAGTCCTGCCCTCAAGGAGCTTATATACTACCAAGATCCAGAACTTCTAAAAGATCATCAAGGGCATTTAGAAAATCCGACCAACAGCACCAAGGTAAGATTTCTTATCCTTGAGGAGAAAAAAAATGTTCCAGAATTCTGCTCATCTCCTATAACCCTGAAATCTATTCTTCTTTTGCTCTTTCTCTTCCCATGACTTTATACCATGGGATTTCCTTCTCTGCCATCACTGCCTATAGTCTAGGCAGTGGAAAAATACTTATGGTTGAGAGCAATAGAATATTAGAACTAGAAGAAAAATTAGGAACCAATGAGATCCCAAAACTCATTTTACAGATAAAATGAGGTCCAAAGAGAAGTAACTCTTCCAAAGTTTCCGAAGGAGTTAGTGGCTTTTCCTTTGTGAGAAAGGAAGGCAGTCCTCCATAACAGATACTGCTGCTTCTTCATTTAGGAAGGGCTAGAGTCCTTAGTCCTTAAAGTTCATTGAGACTCACAAAATGTGAAATATCTGTTGTATATTGGACTTTTCAACATAGAATGTCAGAGCTTGAAAAGACCCCAGAAGTCATCTAGTTCAGAAATGAGGTGATTTGCTAGCCATTAAGACTGCCAGGACTACCTTGGTCTCCTGACATCCAGTCCAAAATACACAAAACAGAATTTCAGATTTAGCACTTGGCCACATCTACCAGCTGACAGGTTCTTGGAGCTCTCAGAATCTTCACCTGGCTGTTCTTTCTGATTAGACTATTTGAACTGTTAGTTCCTTTGAGAGTTCTGATTTTAGAGTGGCCATCTGGCAAGGATGATCTCCATTGATTCATATGAAACGTGTAACAAAAGAACCAATTTGACATTTGCAAATGTCAGATGTCCACTATCGTGTGGACAGCATTGGGAGAAAAAAATATTTCTTTAGAATTGTTCCTCAGAGTCACGATGTTCCCTCCCAAATTTAACCAGTGCCTTAATTGTTCTATTCTTAGGAATATCTGTGTAGGTTGAATTAATCTCTATGGTAGTTGCCTTTCTTCTTCAGCATATCTCATCACTCAATCTCTTCCTGGTCTTGCTAGTAGTACTGTCATCAGAGGGCCAATGAATTTTGAAAGGAAAAAACTAGGGAATCTTAGCAGGAATTTTTTTTTCAAGGATCCAGGTTTTATACCCATAAGCCACATTCCTAGTAATGAGCCTTTCCAAGTGAGCTAAGCTATTCCCTGGATGACAAGTATCTGAAATTTACAGGTACATAATCTAAACCCTGACTAAAGCTAAGACTCCCAAAGGTGCTGGAGAATTGGCTGAGTTGTTCTCTTTCCAAATATTCCTCAGGGCATAAGATTATTGACTTGATTTGGAGGAAGAGTTGGGAATACTTATTGAAGTCTATTGAATATGGTGTAAAGAGCCCAAGGTCACCTCCATGCCAATGGGGTACGAAAGGATGTATGACTCTAGTAGAAGATTAAGGATTCATACCTGGCAAATATCTTCCCTTCACATTAATATCTGTAAATACATGCAAAAAGAAATGGGAATCTCAGAATTCAAAGGGACCTCAGAAGCTATCTAGTTTAAGCTGTACTTGAACCAGGACCCTCACCATGACATTCTTAACCAGTGGTCACGTGGCCACTTTTTGAAGACATCCCGCGAAGGGGAATCCACTGTGGCTTAAGGTTAGTCCTTTCTTCTTTGGCTTAATCATAATTGTAAAGTTCCTCTTAAACTTAAATTTACCTGTTTGCAGCTTCTACATACTGCTCCCAGTTCTGCTCTCTGAGGCCAAGCAGAAAAAGTCGAATCCCTCATTCGTGTGACGAATAAACACTGGAATGCAAATTTCCTGCCTTTAATTTTTCTGTCTGAATATTCCTAATTCCTTCAACATCCTTTAACATATGTGATCTCAAGGCATTTCACCACCCTCATGCCTTCTTCTGGATGCTCCCCAGTTTATCAATTCCTGAAATGAGCCAACCAGAACTGAATGCAATATGTTTGGTGCAATTTGACCAGGGAAGAAACAGTGGGACTATCATTCCTAACACTATATCAGTCTCAAAAACTAACAATGCATCAGTTTTCTTGGTTGTTTATTAGGCTGGTGACTCATAATGGGCTCACAAGCCCCTAAAACTTCCGTATCTTCTTTCAGAAATAGCCAGATCTCCCACATCTAATACTTGTGAAGTTAATAATGACCCACAAGTGTCAACATTTACATTTGTCCTTAC